GATGACTTATACTCCGCAGTGCTCCCTTCCATAATACTTTTGGTATTGGTAGTTGCACTTGAGCGGAGTCCAGATTGTCGGAGCCTTTTTTGGCAAGAGAGTCTGCCTTTTCGTTGCCATCGTAGCCTTTGTGAGCTGGTATCCATCGTAGTAGGACTTGATTGTCCATTGCTAGTTGGTTGAGCTCACTTATAGCCGTGCTGGTGCTTTTAGATTTGACTTTGATGTTGCTCATTGCCATTATTGTCGCCTGGCTATCGCAGTTTATGTTTATTTTTCTAGTTTTGGTCCCAGATTCCCGTAATATTTTTGCCGCAGTGCCTACGGCAAAGGTTTCGGCCTGGAAGACGGTTGAGTTGATTCCTTGGTGGTATGACTCCTCACATGTGGGGTTGTCGTTGTCCACAATGTACACTCCTGCTCCAACTTTTTCATTCATTTTGGAGCCGTCTGTGTAACATTGTATAGTATTGGTGTCATTCTCGATTACCTCATACTCAGAGAGTCGGGGAATTTCTGTGTTGAAACCAATGTCAACATTCAGTGATGTTGTCTGTTGATCTTGTCCTTCAGAGTTGAGACTGATAGCCTTTAGTAACTGTTCATTAAGTTTTGTGTGGGTGGTTAGGTTGCCCTTCTTGTTTACCATCGGCTCATATATCCACTGGTTGTTGGATTTGAGTCTGAGAGCTCTGCTGCTTCCTCTTCCATCACCAGATCAATAGGGATGATTCCGGTGATGATGTCTATACTAGTGCTGCTCCAGGAGTCGATGGTAACCCTCCTGTTATGAGGATGTTCCCCAGCCGCTGTACACTGCTAAGGATTGTTAGGTTATGTTTTTTGGACACACCATTGAGCCAGATTGTCGCAGCGTATGTCAGAGAAGGTCTGACAACGGCTGTATAATATATATACTCTGTCTTCATCAGTGTTACTCTAGACATTTCCTTCAGAAGTTATTCTCCCACTCAGTATTAACTCTCTGTCTTTGTCAGTGTTACTCTACATTTCGCTCAGTAGTTATTCTTCCGCTCAGTATCAACTCTCTGTCTTCATCAGTGTTATTCTACATTTCTCTCAGCAGTTATTCTTCCACTCAGTATTAACTCTCTGCCTTCGTCAGTGTTACTCTATATTTCCCTCAGTAGTTATTCTCCCAATCAGTGTTAACTCTCTATCTTCATCAGTATTACTCTAGACATTTCCTTCAGAATTTATTCTCCCACACAGTATTAAAGTATTAACTCTCTGTCTTCGTCAGTGTTACTCTATATTTCCCTCAGTAGTTACTTTTCCACTCAGTGTTAACTCTCTGTCTTCATCAGTGTTACTCTAGACATTTCCCTCAGTAATTATTCTCCGACTCAGTATCAACTCTCTGTCTTCATCAGTGTAACTCTACATTTCTCTCAGTAGTTATTCTCCCACTCAGTATATTAACTCTCTGTCTTCATCAGTGTTACTCTACATTTCTCTCAGCAGTTATTGTTCCACTCAGTATTAACTCTCTTACAAGTGACAAGTAGTAACGCTCTAGTTCTCTTCAAAACAGTAGACCAAGGGTTTCCTTCTCCTGAGAACAGTAAGTACTCTCTGTCTTCGTCAGTGTTACTCTATATTTAGCTCAGTAGTTATTCTCCTTACTACATTATATGTGCAAGGCAAATTTCTGGAGAATCGAGTATTTTTTTGTAGTAATAATTTGAATTATAAAGCGACAAAATATTATGTGTTCTCTCTTGGTCTGATTTTTTGAATAACAGCCAGTAATTTTAGAAGGTAAACGGTCAAGCAAAGTGTGCAAGGTCGTTGATGGAGTATTCCATGTGAAATCCTCTCACCAGTCTGAGCCCCACCAACTGAACATCAGAGGACCAACTTGCACCTGCAGAAACTTCAGCAGGACTCACATCCCCTGCAGACATATTTTTCAAGCTATCGATGATGGTTTAATGAAATGGGAGGACCTACCTGAAGATTACAGAAACATACCGTTCTTCGTAAAAGATAAAGGTCTGTTAAATTGATCTGTATGCATGTTTACATTCCAATTTAAATAGACAAGACAAAATTGAGGTTCATAACTCGTTCATGTGCTATGGCCGTGCGTCCGCGTCGATGTAGGAGGTGTGGAGCCTGCTTGTAGAGAAAATATGAAGTTTCCTGCAGTAAATATTATTATCAATATCAAAGGCAGGGCATTACTTCGACCTCCGAGGCGAGGTATCCGTGTGGACTCTGGTTGTTATCAGGGTTGGAAAGACAAAGATAATTTTGTCTGTTAAAGTGGGTTATCACTCTCTGCCATCAGAGTCATAAATCACATCTCCGCAGGGTTTGCAAGGTTTTCCCTATTGCTTTGCTTCCAATTCTTATAATAGTCAAAATATAAAATCCGATATTATTTTTGCAGGAAGTGATATTGGGATATGGCCAGCTGATGCAGATGTAAACAAATGCTGCGATTATCCAGCATCAGAAGACGAGGATGAAGAAGTAGAAGATGATGAGGTTGGAGGAAATGGGGATAAAAGAAAGAAGAAACGGGACATAGACTATATAAAGGAGATTGGCGGGAGCTTTCAAACAGAATAACTTCCTTCGTTAATGATCCCGAGTTTGACGTGATGGACGATGATGTCCGTGCATTATTATATAAGAAACTGTCAGATACCGCCAATGATGTGGCATCCTATATTTACAAAAGAAACTAATATAGATAACATAGATAAGATTATGTTTGATAATATATTACTTTAAAAGCCGTGCAATCATTTTAGATATTAGATATTAAACTAACCATATTATGATATTCTCCGTCTAACTATTCGATCTGTCACCATCTCACTATTCAATCTGTCTCAACGTTCATTCTCTGTTTAACTATTCAATCTCTGTCTCAGTGTTCATTTTCTTGTTTAACTATTCAATCTTTGTCTCAGCGTTCATTCTCTGTCTCGACATTCATTTTCCGTCTGACTATTCAATCTGTCTCAATGTTCATTCTCTGTCTCGACGTTCATTCTGCGTCTCACTATTCAATCTGTCTCAATGTTCATTCTCTGTCTCGACGTTCATTCTCCGTCTCAATATTCAATCTGTCTCAACGTTCATTATGTGTTTAACTATTCAATCTCTTTCTCAGTGATCATTCTCTGTTTAACTATTAAATCACTGTTCATTCCTGTCTCGACGTTAATTCTCCGTCTCATTATTCAATCTCTGCATCAGTGTTCATTCTCTATTTTAGAGTTAATTCCCTGTCTTACCTTTCAATCTTTCTCGGTGTTCATTCTCTGTCTGACTGTTCAATTTCTGTCTCACTGTCCATTCTCTGTCTCGCTGTTCAATCTTCGTGTTTCTTTCAAAGTGTTACAGTGACAAGGAGACCGAATGATATTGTTGTAAAATAAAAAGCTTGTCCGCTTTAGTTATAGTGATATTAAAACATATACAACACCATGTATTATGAAATTTTAGATTTTGTTACAAAATATGGACAGTGAATTTGATGTTGTTGTCTAATAATACAAAGATACAAGACGTGAGGCGCGGCGACATTATAAATTTTAGAACTGCCCGCGCATTTTGCTACTTTGCCGCGGCTCCACTAGTTTTTAACGTCTACCAACATGTGCTTAAATCACATTTATGATCTAGCAAGTTATTAATAATATTTGTTTGTATTATTGATACGTTTGTTACATATAATATGATTTGGATCGGATAAGATTTTGACCATTTCAATTCAGAGCCGGGTTGGGATGACCAGTTATACATTATAGAGTGTAGTATATTTTGAATAAATATACTAATCAGTTATAATAGGCAAAACAACTGTGAAGTTAAGTTGAGTGATTTTTGATGTTAACAAAAACCACCTAAAGTAGTAAACGTAATCCATGATATCGTTTAATTAACTAAAATAAATATGTTAAATGAATTTAAAGTTGTTTATGCCTTGCATTGCATACAGTTTCACTAATAATAATAATTCTATACAGTTACATAATTGAAACAATTATGGCCCCTTATTGTGGGCAGAGTATGTGTCTTTGTTGAAGTGTCCTGGTATAAACTTATCTGAGTGACTGCATTAAAATAATTTAAGGAGAGTTCTCTTAAAACTTTAAAACAATGGGGATAAATACTAAGACCTAACAAAATCATAACAAAATGCAGCCACCTAATTTGTTGATAAGCTTTCTCTCCTCCTACGATTGACTAGTGCGACCATCTTTGGCGAGTATTAGGAACTTGGACCATTACAAATACCGTACTGTAAGTTTGCAAGGTATGTGGACTAAGTGGGTCGAGAGTACTCGACTTGAAAGTTTTACTTAGATGTCAACAGATTAGCAGATCTCATAGCCAGAAAGAGGAAGGAGAGGTACTGTGGTGTAGTAAGGCATGTAAGAACGAGGATACGATTTACTATGCAACTCTTATCGCTCTTTGTGGGTACAGAGGAAAGAAGATTGACATCAAACATGAGACCCCTTTATCAGAAGTTTCGTACAACCTCATTCCTGCCCCGATGATGGAGTGATGATGTGTTTTGAAAATTTTTGTGAATATATTTGATTGTTTAAAGTTCAATTGGTAGCAATGGACCATCTCCGTTACCTATGTAATGTGCTCTGCTAATTGCATCACTTGAATTGATTGTACTCTGCCAATTGCATCACTTGATTAAATTATATGTATAAGTATATATTGCTTGAATGACGTTTGCTAATTGCAACACTCGATTTTTAAAAAAATCAAACAATACATATACATTCAATCAAAGTGCTTGGAAATTCCACTTAACATCTTCTGACTTCAGAGCCACCATGGAAATGATAAATCAAATCGGTAATTATATACATGACATCCCTAACTTTCCTGTACTGCATCTGATACATTGTCTTGCAACAACTGCATCTATTAGGTCCCAACGAGGGTCACTTGAATTTGCCCATGATCACCCTCTTGCCTCACTTGCCGGCAATACTATGATAATCAATGCAGGTGGTATTTTGGTTGCTGCTGCGCTTGGACAACCTTTGATGGGCCCATTTGCAAATGTGATGAATACCTTCACTGCAATCTTCATCTGGTGGTTGGTCTACTTTGGTCCTGGTGATGTTGCATTCAGATTGTACAGAGAGAAGCCAGTGCAAATATTACTAATGGCAGCCAGAGAAACGAGACGGTGCAAAAAGGTTCTGTGGGCTGTAAGTTCTGCTGCAGCTGTTTTTGAAGGGCAGTGGATTCCTCTTGTCCTAGTTGGCGCACTTGGTGGTTGCTCAGGAAAGTTCCTTCAAACTACCGAAGAGTCAATAAGAAAGCATTCAGCTGAGATGAGCAGAGGAGAGTTCTTGCAGATATCCTTTGTCACCAAGGCGTCACTGCTCATTTCAGGAATTCTTTCCATGATCACAATCGGAGCAATTCCTCTAACCATTGCTCAAGGTCTTTTCTTTTGCTCTGCAATATTGGTCTCAGTAAACCTTGCCATGACTCTAGCTGGTCTCCCTGATCCCTTCCATCCTATAACCAATGCAACATGGAGAATGGTGTCCATTGCAAGAAAAAAGGGGGCATCAAAAGAGGAAGCTGCTAAAGTCGATGCAAAATCTGGTGATAAAGAGATAAAGAAAGATAAGTGAAAGGCAATAATAGGATAATATAGGTTAGAAGCATGACATTGAGCCTGCTAAAGAATATGCAAAATTGTATTTTATGGTTCAGTGAAAAATATAGCTTTATCTGCAGATTTTTAAACTATGTAATTTATGTCAGAATAGGTGTTTTTAAAACACCTACCCATTAAATGTTTGTATAAAATTATTATAGGTTTTATAATCATATTATATTCAACATTAATAAATGATTTTTTGATGCATGCAATCCTATTTTCTTAATTTTTGGATTTTATAAAAAATGCATTTCTCTGGGATCCTTTTAACTCTGTGTTTATATTTCATTATTTTAACTGTAATTGAATTGCGATGTTTTGAACTAACTAAAATAAAATTGACATGTTTATTTCAATTGGCTAGAAATTGCTGGGATTTTAGATATTATCAATTTTAGCATGATGTAATTTTACAACTTGTTTTCATTTCAATATAGTTAATTTATTTCTCTAAAACCTAACAAACGAATATGTAATGATTTCAGTATACGTCTTGTATCTTATCATACCGTTCAGAGCTTGTTTTACTGATATTAATAAAAATTGTGTTTCTTAGATCTACTGTGTATCAAAATGAAAATTATTGTATCAGTTTTTCTTTCGAAAAAGTGAAATGTGATGTCATCTAGATAAATCATAATCCCCTGAATTTTGTCAGCGTCCTCGTTAGCAACATGGCATTCTCTGGTTTCAAAAAGACGATGGGCAAGACTACACAGGTAATGTTTTGATTTAAATTATTTGATTGGTTGCTTTGGTTTTAACCAGTTAACTTAAACTTTCTGCTCCGAGGAGGGGATATGTTTGTCGTATAATAGTAGGGTAGTGAATGCTGTGTTTCGTTTCGTTTAAATACCAAGTAACGAAATTGCCATTTCATGATTATTCGCCATAATAAGGCTATATTAGATACATCTAAATAATTTTCAATTAACAGAATATTTGTTTCAGTATCTCAGTGAGAAAATAGGGAACAAAGAAGGCTCTAAAACTGACGAGGATTTCGTTGAGCTTGAAAGGGTGGGTCAATTTTTACAGCGTGAGTACTCACCAACTATTATTACACTACCCCCTGTTGCCCTGTTCATAGCCATATTTGTGCAGGAAATTTCAAGCTTTTAATACGGCAAAATATTGTTGACAAGTGTTATTTCATATAATGTAAGTTAAATCTGAGTAGATACGTTCAGGACATCTTCACTGTTCATTATGTCATGCAGTGTAGTATATTACGTCAGAGTAAGATACATTTTAATATTGCACGTGCAAGACAACTAAGCAACAGATCACGGGACCTTGCACGCCTTACACAAACTTCCTATGATAGTGGTACTGATGATGTAAAATACAAGGACCTTCTTACATTACACAATTGTTATTTTTAGATAACCGACAACACGGCGAGGTGTATGGAAAATATTAACAACAAAGTCATGGACTTTCTCCAACCAAATCCGGGTAAGAAATGGGCCTGAGTTTTCTGTTCGAATTCAGAACAAACGTCCCTTTAGTCAGGGTGTCCAGGATAATGAAGCTCAGGAATTTGTAAATCCATGTGTGGTGTTGAATTTCCGGACTGGAATTTTGTTTTTTATTCTATTTACACAGAAATATCTAGTTTTTTCAATAAAGCATTTAGTTTTACCCATATTGCATTACAATTCCTCTTCACTTTATCGGCCTCAAATTTCAAATATGTCACAAATTATGCTTTAGACTTAGCTGCCACATTTCAGTAACGCGAGCCAAGCTAGCTACGCAGGCTACTTATGCGCGAGCACGTGGCACTGCTATAGAGACGGGATACCCACAGACGGAGCGAACGGTCGGAGAGATTCTTACTAAAAGTGCTGAAGATATCGGAACGTCCTCATATTATGGTCAGTGTAAAACCATATCACTTTTCGCTCCAACTATTGAGATATGTCAGCGCTCATATTTTTCATCATTACATCTAAACAGATTACACATTGTAGCTTTGTAGTCACGTACATGTAGTTACCATGGTAACAGTGTAGAGCTCCAGCTCATTAGTCTTTTGTCCCAGTTCTGTAATGGTTATGACGCTTGTCGGGTACCTGGGTCTATAACAGATAAACACAGCGCTGTCTACATCCTCACTTACCTAATAATGTTATAATGTTACTGTTTACACCAACAAACCTGACATACCTAACACTACCCGTACACACAGTTTACACGTGTATCCGGCTTGTGTGCTGTCTTCTGACTTGCCGGGTTGGTGACAGGGTGTTACGGTAACCATAGTAACCGTGTAACAGGGTGTTACGGTAACCATAGTAACCGTGTAACAGGGTGTTACGGTAACCATAGTAACCGTGTAACAGGGTGTTACGGTAACCATAGTAACCGTGTAACAGGGTGTTACAGTAACCATAGTAACCGTATAACATGTTTCAGGTCGTGCAGTTGTGGAGCTAGGCGAGGGTTTCATGAAGCTAGCTGATGTCAAGGATTCTCTGGTGAGTTGAGAGAAATTAAAATCACTTTTTTTTTGTTTTCTTACAGTAACAAGTGTTAGTTTTTGGCAGTGAAATAAACAACAAATATTTTATGTCACACGGGCGACAGGCGTATCTCACACGTCTACGTGCTATTTCTTCAGAAACTCTATTTTTATTATCAGATAAAGCACTTCGCACCAGTGAAAACTATTACGCCTTTTATGTTGGCCTCTATTGTTCGAAAAAAAGAGGATTACTACAGCCTACATGTCCTGATCACGTGACATAGTACAATTACATAGTGTGTACTACTGAGTGTGTACTGTGTACTACTCAGCTGATTGTGTAACGGGTTCAAGGTGTGGTGATATCACCTTGTCTAGAGTAATTAGCGTGTAAAACAGACTGACTCACTGTGTGAATGTACACTAAATGCCAGTTCTAAATTACTATAATTTGTATGAGTAGTAGATTTAATTAACATCTGCGCTCCTCTTAATCAAATATTACACATTTTAGCAAAATATGTTTTCTACCATTATGCACGGTTTCTGAATTAATTTAGTCAGGCTGTAGTTGATGTACTTGCTGTATTTTCTTTCCAATGAAACCAATCAAGTGCAACATGGGAGCATATGAATTTTCATCTTTTTCTCGAATATAAAGAAAATTGAATTGATATAAGTAAATAGCCAAGAAATTAGTTATGTGAATCTTCTAAGCAAAGGGGAATACTACAAAACTTCTTGATTAAGGGGGTGGCGGTCCAGCCTGAATCTGTTATGAAACTTATTAAGATATACATTATCCAAATAAGCGTATGACAGGAATATAAAGTCTGTTTTGTTAGACTGGTTAAGTGTGTACAGACTACAACGTCCCATTTGCTTACACTTTTTGAGAGCTGATGTTCAATAATAACAATTTAACTAAAAGCGGTAATTTTACAGGATTGTGATATTAAACAGAACTTCATTGATCCAATGGAACAAACGATAAAGACGGACTACAAAGAAAGCATTCAGGTAGAGTGTATTTTGGTATATATATTACATGTATTATATAGCTGTATAAAACACTTACACCCCTTCAAATAACAACACTCGGATGTACTGTGCTTATTAGTGACACTTTGTGTAGCTACTAGATCGGTTTGAAGCTCTTAATATGATATATTAGCCACCAGGATTATCTAGATTTTGAGGGCAATTATTTATTACAGGACTATCAGTTAAACTGTAGTGTAGGCATTATTAGAACGTTGCCAGATGTAATATAATTAGTCAGACCGTGAGAGTGCAGTGTAGTGCAATTTATTTAGATTCGTCCTAAAATGTACCTGGTATGTCCAGACAGCTTGCAACCCTGTAAGGTTAGAAATTTGAGGTTACATTAATTTTGTTGTTTCTAAAGTACGCAAATGGTTATCGATAGATTAATTGGCTTTATGCCAAGCTAGAAATCCGATTAAAACAATGTTAGATGTGATGTATTGTTTATCTAAACAAGGCTGTGTTAATTCAGTGTACATTTTCCATTACTATCTAGTGTGTTACAGTTTAAAGAGTATATTAAAGTCATTATTGTAACGGTATATTAGAACCAGAACATATATTATGCTATAGTCTTATTGTGTAAATAATCAATAATTAATATCCTGATGTACTAAAGCTAGCTCTGCATAATATTCCATCGCTTCTCAACAAGTCAACAACACACAGAGTCTCCAGTGTATTATTGGTAGTTTGACTAACGATTAAAAGTTATTATTATAATAGCAACATAAGTTAACCAGTGTTGAAACTGTAGAGGAATCTAATCCAGGAGGGATATAATGGGAGGCTAAAGATATGATAATTTGTTTACAATGTTATTAGATCTCTTAATATTTGTTCCTTTGTAAATGAACAAAGAAAGGGACTAAAGATACGCTGTACGTACCTATGAGACTTTTGGGGATGGAAATGTATTGTGTGTTTGCGGATGTGACACACAGCCTAGACTATTCCTGTATTCTTGGAAGTTTTAGTTAATTAGATTGTTCACTTATCAAGTAAATTGCTGTAAAACTCATTCCACTCCGTAGAGCTCAGTTATTCAAATTCCTGTGCAGTAAACCTATATACTGAGCCTGTGATAGATATTCTCACATTGGTAGAGAGTTTCCATAAAAAGCGGCAAGAATTTTCTCGCAAATTCCCTTATAAAGACTAACGAGAGTTCTTGAGATGGCAATAAATAACTCAGCAGGTCATAATTTTGTCGAAATCTTGCAAAATATGTTGCTTTGTTATGTACACATTAATAATTCTCATTCCAAGATGCAGGAAATAGCGAATATAGATTAGTATTCCACATAATTTGATCTTAATTTGTGCATTACTCGGCCAGTCTTTCGCCATCTGTTGCCTGCAAAATAATAGGATTACTTGCTTTTCACTCACAATAATTGGAATTTACTCGGTTTTGAGTAGCATTCCCGGCTATAATGTTCATTGTCCAGCTCCTGCAAACTTATCTTGTCTGATAATGAGCGCCAATAAATATCGAGGAACAAGAAAATAATCGATAATTATTACAATTAGAGGTGTATTAGAATTGGTCACATTTATCGCTCACACTGTTTACCATTGCTCAGTGTGTTTGGTGGGTGTCACAAAAACTGTTCTTTATCACACCGCACAGAACAAAGGCATCGAGAACGGTCTTATAATAGCTTACCATAGCTTATAATAGCCTATCGTAGCTTATCATTGCCGTTCAAAATTACATTTTATGGTTTTAGCCGGCTTAGGTTCGGGTCATTAATTTAGATATAATAAGGGTCAAGGAGATGATAAAGTAAAATACTTTTTAAGATTCACTTTTGCCAGTCCTAGAATCTTAATCCTGAATGTAACGTAATAACTTATTTTTAAATAGTGCGAAAAATAAAGAAAAGCAAGCAACCAACCAAGGGTATGAGAAACAAACAGAGTCATTGGGGGCCGACCCGGCCCAGTCATTGGGGGGGGGGGTCCAACAACCCCAGTCACAGGGGGGGCAACAACCCCAGTCACAGGGGGGGGGGCCAACAACCCCAGTCACAGGGGGGGGTCCAACAACACCAGTCACAGGGGGGCCAACAACCCCAGTCACAGGGGGGCCCAACAACCCCAGTCATTGGCCGCACACATCTTATATTCCATCACCTAGAGTGGCAGTTGGAGCTCACACATCATCCTGTGTAATTATTGTAGATGCAGTGTGTGATTACACACAGTTTGTGAGAACACACTGAGGTTATGAGCTGGAGCCAGGAGCTGAGACCTGCCGAGAGTTTAGTGACTCAACTTATTGTCTCTGATTGTGTAAGAGTGAAACTTATAGTCTCTACAATCTACATCTGGTTCTGTAAGAGTGAAACACCTGCCAAAACTAAAGTGTTCATTCTACATATTAGTGTCCTGTGTCAGCGTTATATGTTTGTCATTATGATTACAGGGGGACATTAAATGTGAATTTACGATTGATTATTAAAGCATATTTAGAATTATTGATCATTCAAGTTGTATTCTGAGATCAGGAATTAGAATAACGTATCATGTTGCAAGAGGAGTTTGGTAACATTTGTAAAATCTTAGAATCTGGACAATAAAATACACTCCTTTATAAATATTAAAAGCTTGTGGAATCTAGAGCAGATATCACATTTAATATTGCATAATTATTGTGTTCGAATAAGTATTGGGTGTGAATATAGCCGCATATTCTTGATTGTGAACCGACTGACCTTATCATCAGACAACTCATTGTGTTAAGTAAAACTCCTTTTATGGCAAGCAAAGTCACAGTAAACCTGGTACTTTTGACGGAGTAGCAAACTATGGTATCGCCTGAATCTGTTGAAATGTTTAAGATACATAATGAGTGTTACAGAAAAGTGATGTAATAATGAAGCCTTACCAATCTGAAATGTGACTCTCGCCCGTGTTCTATGTATTTAAAATTGAGCGGGCTAGGAGGGGCCTTTATTTAAAATATTAAATATCTCTATATTTGATACATTCTGTCTTACCAACTCAAAGTAAGGGAAGTGTTTTTATCATCGTATTTTGTTGATAACGATAATCATTAACACTAATCGATATTCACATCTCACAGGGTCATCGGAAGAAAATGAACTCACGACGCCTGGACTACGACTACAAGATCTCACAACACGAAAAAGGGCGGGTAACCGAGGATGAACTTTACACAGCGGAGGATAAGTTCAATGAGAGTATGCAGATGTCAGATGTGGGCATGAAGAAGTTCGTCCAGGCTCAGGTCGGTTTTATTCTACTACTTTACTCTACTTCTCATCTGGTTTTGGGTTTTTCACGTAGATAAGCATCTCTTTAAAACTTAAAGTTCATCCCCAGTTTCTTTAACTTTTGATACTCAGAGCACTTTTTCTAACATTTGGCGAAAGCTGTCAATTTCGCTTTCTAGAATTCTCAAAATAGCCCCAAAACGCGACTCCCTTGAGAGATTCAAGCGAGCAACACGTGACACGGACTAGTGGTGTGTGTAAACTCACCACAGTCTACACACACCGCAAATACCTGACATTACACGTATCTTGTTCCATGTACTGTGAGGAGAGGTGTAGCTACTCCGCACTCTGACCAGACTCTCACTCTAGGAAGTAAATATTTGGGATAAAACACGTAGTCTATTATATTCTTTTCGTGTCTTTAAAATCTGCATTTATATATCTCAAATTGAGCTAATGATTTCTCTTCAAAAAAATTATTTGTTTTATGTTCATAAAATGATTGAACACTCTGACTTCTGTGATCATTTTGAGGTCGACACTACCCACGTTTCATTTGAAAATTCTAGGTAACTTGACCTAATTTAAACGAATACTAAATCATCACTTATCATTTGGCATGATTTGTTTACTATAAAAGGAAAGTTTAAAATTTAAGCAGCTTTATATTCAGTATTATTAACATAAGGACCAACAACTTTTAGCGATAAAATATTCAAAATATCGGATATAATTAAATGAATAATTTGGATAAAACATAACCTAACACGTGTCCATCCAGGAAGAACACATACACCAGCTACAAGCTCTAGTTGGCTTCATCAAGAACTACCACGAGAACGCCCTGCGAATACTTGATGAGGTACAGAGCAACATACAGGAGCATGCCGCCTCAGCACAGAGCATGCCGAAGGAAGAGGGAAGACCTGTAGCTCGTATTTCCTCCGTTATGGCACGTACAAGTATCTCGAGTCCCTCGGAACCACGACCAATGAAGCCGGCTGCTGGTCCTGCACCACCTGCTAAACCGGAAGCTGCCAGACCTGTTGCTAAAGCTAAAGGTGAGCTGTTTTACTTACTTTTCTCAGCTACCGGTCGATATGCAAGATTTTCACGATACATTAATATGGTATTAAACATCTGTAGGCTAATTTATATAAGGGAGCAATCAGCTATAATTAGCGCTCGTTTTCCTTGCACATCGGTTACAATATAGTTACAACCAGTTCAAATATCAAAACTTTGACTTATTTCTCGAAAGTTATTGTGAATTGATCGAATTCGCCCCTGCGAAAGTCAAAACTGGGGGATTGACTGTTTCGAACGTTTTTGGGGTTTTTGTCCACAGTATCCTAATTTCAAGAGATATTGAGCTATAAAACACAGAGAATACGTTGTTTAGCAATTACCTTCATTCAAAATATCAATACTTCACCAATTTATAAACTGAAGCCTAACAAATTTGATGCGTATAGCCAAATATGGGCACAATTTACGAAATTTCGAGAAATATGTAAAAGTTTTGATATCTGAACTGGTGGCGGGTGGTGGTAACATAATTGTAACCGATGTGCGCAAAGCAAATAAACGCTAATTATGGCTGATTAGTGATTACTTCTTCATTGACTTAGCTACAGATATTTAAACCTTACCAATGTATCGTGAACACCCTGTTTAAGCTCTAAGTAGTCGATTCTACTAGATCCATTCTACTAGATCCATTCTACTACTATACTGTTATTTACTGTTAATTTATTTCAAACTGACACCGAGAAGTGTTTTTACTTTTTGTCGGGTAAACTTCTTTAACATACTTTCTCACAGCTCTGTTCGACTTTGAAGCGGAGAACCCCACGGAACTGGACTTAAAGGAGAACGACATAGTGATACTGATCAAACAGATAGATGATAACTGGTTTGAAGGGGAGGTTAACGGCCGCCAAGGCTTCTTCCCCACTAACTACGTGGAAGTTATCATCCCTTTGTAATTGTTATTACAAGGACTCACATCTTTAGTATGTAGTTTGACGACATGTACTGTGCTAGTCTTCTTTTTTTTTGGCAGATGATTTGTGTAAAATTTTATATTCCTTGTGTACATTTGGGGTGTGTGGACTGTAGAAGTTTGTTACTTTAGAGGAAATGTAGAGTGTGTAGCGCGATGCATTATTCGTTGGTTTTGTGAAAAGTTTTCAGCTCACTACTAACTTATTAAATGATTATAATTTGGCCTGCTTTAAGTTTGTATTATACAATTCATACCCTGTTATAGCTGTGTTAAATGTTATGTAATTAGACTTTAATTACTCACATAATAATAATATATAATGTTCTGTTTTGTTTATTGCCTAAATTTATCTAGCATGCGTTTATCAAAGTAATAATTTAGATTCTACAGTATTGATTTACGTTACTAATACGTTATAATTTAAAAATATCCAGTTTGGTGGTTCATCCTATCACAGCATGGCATTAGTGGTACTGGTTAGTGGTGGTGGTTAGTGTGTGAAGTAACAGCTAGATATTATCTTTAGAGTTTTTAAGTTTTTTTAGATGAGTATTTATAGTTATTGGCCAGGATATCGTATTTCTAGAGGTTCAGTTAATTCCTTGAATTTAATTCACAACTAGCAAATGTTGAATGGTTATTGATTTTAATGAAGCCTTGTAAATGATAAGCCTGACACAAGTCTGTCAGTTTTGTAATGTAAATTTTCTCCCGTTAAATGACATGCCGATGTATTGCATATTACATATGTAATATTATGTAATATGTGAGAGTAATGCACTACATTTTTATACAGGGCGGAAGGCCCGTACTAATGTCCTGACATCTAGTTCATCTGAAAATGTTATCTGCACATTGTTTAAAAATATTTGAATAAAAGTATTTTCGATAATAAATTAAATTTAAAGAGTCCCCGGCTATTTCATTGCCATTGTTATTAGTCACTATTGACTATATTGCTGAACATTTTGCATATTCTCTGAAAAACCCAGGTTTCTGGATACTGCTGATTGAGCTGTTAAGAAAAGTATATGTTTTGTGTCCTGATAAATTTGAGTGATTTTGGAGACGTTCAATGAATGAAGGGCTCTTGCCTTTTTTCAAATGCTATTGTTAGGCAACGAAATATTCTGGTTTTTAAATAGAAGAATGTGTTTTCTTTTCGATTATTAGCCTAATATAAACGAAGTTGTGCAATTTCTGGAATACGGCTAACGACGCCGAAGGAATTCTATCCGTAATAACATTTGTAAATGACCTGCATTCTTACAATATCTTCTGCCTTGACCAAGAACAATAACAGTTTTAAGACTTACGAACAATCATTGGAATTTGGAACAAAATACCATCAATCATATCTTTTGAATATGACTCGGCTCCGTACATTGCAGAATAGTTCATAGAATGCTCCACAGATACAGTATGTAAATCTAATCACATTTCTGATAATATTGGAGTGATTATACCGATTTAATCAACTTTACTCCATATCACACACAATCATTGCAGACGGAGTGTTAAGGTCACATTTGAGAGACATGCAAAGAAATTGTCTCTAATTCCTTGATAATGGTGGAGCTGTTGATAAAATTACGTATGGCTTTAACAGCTTACTCTTCGATTAATAACGATCCAAACTAGTACGAAGCGCAGTGAACCTGACGTGTGCCAGTCGATGTATTTATGTAGGGCGCGGTAAAACTTACCTTGGAGTATATTGCGCAAATAACGTTCGTGTGAAATTAAAATATTATATAATAATTACGTTTAAGCCGCGCGCACGTTACATTAAAATAAAGGTTGTAGGGCGATGCGTTACTGTGCCTGGCTAGATCGGCGAGATCGATGCGCTACTGTGCCGCGCCGAGCTGCCATGAATTGACATCGTCAATTAATTTACCTGAGGACCCCAGGCTATTACCTTAATTCCCAAAAATTTGGGCGACAAAAAATTTGAGCGGGCCTCTCGCCCAAATTTTTTGCAGACCAAATTAATTGCATAAATCTTTTCCGTCTGCTAAATTTTTTGCTAACCAAACTTTTGGCATTTGGCCTGTGGTCCTGAAATCTATAGAAAGATGGCTTTTTCTTCATATCCAAGTGAAATAAGATTTGAAATTTTAGTTTTCTAATCTGTCATTCATGGCTTGACCAAGTAAAACTTAGGCTTATATTTTAAATGAATAGAAATAACTGGAATAGCTAACAGCTACTAATAAAACAAATGGCTAGAGGTACGGATAGCTAGAGATTTAAACAAGATCTGCAAATGGATTATCATCCACCGCGCCGTAAATGGTAAAGTCTGATCTACAAGCATCAGTTATACCCGACTTTTCAAAGCTTACCTGAGGACCCCAGGCTTTAATGTTGGTAGAGATTAGTATAGGCGGAATGACAGGCTGAGCGCAGCCCAGTAACTCAAAGCCTTTCCTTATGTCATCTGGCCTCCCTTTCAAATATACAAAAAGTTCGTTGATCCAACGAGCGTGTACTTCACGGATTACTGTCAAGCGGGTATCAATTTTTACATTGTCTGATGAAACTCCTCCTGTGCTATCATCACTGTATTTTTTAGTAGTTACTGGGCAGCGCAGATCGCCCTGGGGTTTCACATGCGCCGTAGCAAAATAAATATAAAAACACACGCACACAATTTTTTTTTATTCTTTTAGATAAAACGTCGAATAAAGTCAGTGGATATAGAGTAATAAATTGCACATAAGATGGAGAGAAAAAGGCTTATATTTTAAATGAATAGAAATAACTGGAATAGCTAACAGCTACTAATAAAACAAATGGCTAGACTTAGAGGTACGGATAGCTAGAGATTTAAACAAGATCTGCAAATGGATTATCATCCACCGTAAAATCTGGGCAGATCGTAAATTTCATAATGTGAAACAACTTAGACTACCACCTACAATCTACATACTTAAAATTGAAAGCAAAATGACTGGAATAAGGAATAATAATGAACTAAGGCAAATATCTAACTGAAATTTTAGTGGAAAATCGTTCATTTTTCGAAGAATTTGTGCCCAAATTTTCGGTCGCCCAAATGAGTTCAAATTTTCTGCCCAAATTTTTCGGGCTCAAATAAATTGTGCTCAATATAATGGCACACAAATTTTTGGGAACTAAGGTATGTTCATTAATAAAGATTTGGCGGAATGACAGGCTGAGCGCGGCCCAGTAACAATTAATCAGTACCGCTCGCTTATTGAGAAATAAAATTATTGTACTGTGATTAGCGGTCACTCATCCAAATTAATATTACAAGTATTTTAACATTTCATGGCTATTTAAGGGTTGTACATTAATTCTATGTTTCCAAAGATGCTACGCCGCGCATTTATCATGTCAATAATATTGAAATGACTTAGCAAGAATCGAGCGCCTCCGTGAAAATTGTTATTGCATGTCACGACCTTTATTAGTCCCGTCTACTACTAGCGTTTTCTTCAAAGCTTACAAACTTAGAATATATTCCTATATTATCTATACTAGAACAGCTGCCCTTTTTCTAATTGATGTCCAATCCTCTAATTCACTAAAGGTCTATCATTAGTTCTTAGTTATCTTAAATGATTTTAATGCAGTCACTCAGATAGGTTCTATACCAGGATGCAGGACATCTCAACAAGGATTATATATTCATTGATATAATAGGACACATATTTCCCCCGTAACAAGGGGACATAATTGTTTCAACTATGTAACTGTAAAGGTTTAATATTATTATTTAATCGGTGGAATCGAGCGTCACCTTTCTAGGCTCTTAATCTCCATAACTTAAATTCAATAAGTTTAGTGAATCAAAGTACTATTATAGTAATAATAATAATAATTTAAACTTCTATACTATAGTGGCACAACAACTTAAAATGCACAGGTGTGCCACGAAAACAGTTCAGGACACAATAAAACCTGAAAAAGCAACCCACATTTAAATTCTAAACCAGGTAAGGGTATTAGACTTGAAGTAAGTAAAATACAATTTAAGTAAAATACAATTTTTATTTTCCACAGAAGAATCAATACATATTGAATTATAAATATCCGATAATTCCATTAATAATCATTAAAAGTTGCTTTGTCATTTGTAAAATCAAAAACGAAAAGCCCCACGCTGAACGCGCGCGGCATTTTTTCTGCAGCTGCCTAGCTTCAAGCCGCTAACATCAAAGCCGCCGCGCGCGCCCATTCTTAATGATACACTAAATAAACGTTGATGTGAATGCATTTTTCAGTAGAAACAATTAGGGAAGACTAGGGTTGAAAAAATATTAAGTCACAATATTATGAGCACGTTTGAAAAGAAATGTCTTCAGATACAGTTTAAAAGAGTCTAATGTTGTACAATTCTTAATTTCAAATGGTGGTTCATTCCATAATTTAGGGCCAACTTTCTGAAAAGATCTTTCTCCATATTGTGTATGCACTCTAGGTTCAGTCAAATAGATAAGATGATCATAGTTTGCAAATTTAAACATTGTACTTAAATAATCTGGTCCCATGCCATTAAGACATTTATAAACAAGAAGTAATAACTTGTACTGAATTCTGTAACTGATAGGCAGCCAATGAAGGTCTTTCAGAGTATCTCCTAAATGATCATGTTCATATAGTCTTACTATAGCTTTAGCAGCAGCATTCTGAATGAGTTGAAGCTGATGGATAAGGTAGTCACTAATTCCAAAATAAACGGTGTTGCAGTAATCCAATTGCAGATGATGATGCTATTAACAATAAGCTTAAGCTGAGCTTTACTAAAAAGATACTTTCTTCTGATAACATTCCTAAGGAGTCTTAAAACAATGTTTTTTTAGGGACATGATTTGAGGCTCAAAGGTAAGTAGAGTACCAGAGAGTACAAATTGTATGTGTGTTTGATTTGGTTACAGTTTACACTCATCTCGTTTTAGGTTGCTGTGTGGCATAGTTATTATACAATTCATTCGATATGGTGGATATAACTTCTACTTTTAGATCTTGATGGATACTTTTAGTCCAGATGTAAAATCTATACGATATTCTTGCTTTAGTGAGAACTAGTAATGAAAATGTTCTGGTATTTTTATGCCATTCTGAGGGGGTTTCATGGTCAAAAATCGTGGGGTTCCACTTGTCCGCGAACAACATCCAGCGGTAAACCGCCAGTTAGGTCACCCGAGCCGCCTCTGCTTGCTGCAGCTTGGTCTGAAGCCTCCTGTATCCAAGAAGACAAGGGGTTCAAATGATCCTTTCGAAGTTTCCAAGACCCGATCTTGATAAAAGTCTGTTTTCTCCTTCCGTTTTTCACAGAAAGTTATTATCTTGTTATATGATAAGTGAAATTTCTGATAATTTTCTGATCACATTTTGTGAAGATTAATAATTTACCCTTAAATTTAGGGCCTAGGGTGGCAGTGTATGTTAACAGGCTTCACAGAGCTTTACGAACAAACAACTCAGTGAGTTACTTATTTAATGTTTCAAAAAAGATGGATGACATATTCTGGATTTGGAACTAATTCAGCACTCACAGTACATTAGATAATTTCCCTATGATCGCTGTCAAGCTAGCTCAAATTCGTTGCTTAATTGCGATATTGTAAGTTAAAGGAGACGTTTCCAAAACTAAGATGTATTAATTCTCCCAGATAAGAACGATGGTGCTTGATTTAACTTTGTTCCGTAAAGAGAAGGGTGGTGATCCTGAAAAGTTGAGGGAATCTCAGAAGAAGAGGTTTAAAGATGTTACCCTTGTTGACAAAGTTGTTGAGATTGACAACAAGTGGAGAGAGGTAATAAAATTAATTAATTTTTAAAAAGATTTATTTAAAAGTAATTTTGAAACGTTTTAGAATTTGCTTTAGGTTTTGATACAGGTTTTGTAGATGGTTTAGTGAATACTTTCTGAATAAAATCAGAAAATATTCCTTTGGTTGTCACTCTATCAGTGATCTGATCGAGAGCAAGTATGCAACAATGAGACCGATTAGGCTGTACCAAGCATGTCAGAGAAATGATCAGCTCCTAAGCAGTATGCAACCATGCCAATCAATCCACTGATTAATAGGGATAAATAAGATCACGTTCCCACCTGATTTTTAAATGGTCATATTATTTTAACTATTCCACTTAAAAAGGCAGTTTACTATTATCTAACCAAAGGTGTCCAGAAAATTTTGAGTTCCTAGGTCAAAGCGAAAAGTGGAAAAGAGGGAGTGGCATGCCACACCTATAATGGAAGAAATTTTACGAAACTTTTAGAGAATCCAAGTTTGAAATATCAGTAATCCCTGGAATTGTTGTGCAATCCTGACACGAATTACGTGAGTTTTTGAAGGGTTGCTGGAATGAAAATTTTGAAAACGTCCTATTTTTATTCTACCGGCGCGGTAGCAGGAAAGTTTCAGAAGCAGCAAATTTTCAAATTTAAGCTTTCCGTGACCATTTAGCAAGGTAACCGAGGATGACACAAGACACGATTGAGGTACTCAAAGTTCTATTCCCAAAGAAAGCTTTGATATACGGAAAATCATCAGAGTATAAAAAGAGATTTTAGAAGATTTTTGAAGAGGAGCTTTTCTGCGATCCCTTGACACGATTGTGGTACTTAAAGTTCTATTCCCAAAGAAAGCTTTGATAAACGGAGAATCATCAGAATATAAAAAGAGGTCTTGGAAGATTTTTGTAGAGAATCTTTTCTGCTCTCTCCTTGACCGAAATTTCGCAGTTTTGAGTGCATTTTTGACTAGTGACTAATCCGTAAGGACTGAAAATTTTGAAAATTTCCTTCTGGGCTACCCTGTATATTTAGACTATTAGAGATGTTTACCATTGAAATTGAAACCATTATTTTTGGCCAAAGAATTTATTGCCATTTTCAAACTCTAACTGCAGATATGGTTTATAGTTTGGTTGGCTTTGAACAATTGCTATAGAGTATCACTTTAAATCGCTGCAGGGCTTGAACAAAATGCTTTTACTTCTGCCGCATTAATATCAATAGCAGTAATAGTGATATTACTAAAAGTAAGGTTTGTTTGGGTCATCAAAACTTCCCTTAACGTCCGTAGATTTTCTTCCTTCTTCGTGACGTAAGTCGTAACTGCCCATTCAGAATCCTTAAGGGTTGAGGTTGACGGCTCATATCATTTTATTTTCAGGTATCATATAACTGTGACCAATACAACAAGCTTAAGAATATCACCAGCAAGGCTATCGGAAAGAAAATGAAAGCAAAAGAACCTCAGGGCGACACCAATGAAATATCCGATGAAGCCAAAAATAACATCTTGTAAGTTAGTGATCGAATCTCAGTCCGGTAAGACTGTGACTTATAACTGTTTGATATGGTTTAGGTCATGTTGGGTGTTTCTTAACATTTATTATTAACGATCCTACGATTTAATTTCAACTCCCAGGCAAATGACAGCAGAATCTATGGATAAATTTACGGTGAAACAGCTAAAAACCATCAGTAGTGAGGTAACATTTTTATTTCTATCAACTTAGTTCTTGTAACAATTTACTTCCACTCTTTAAGATTAGAGATAAACATTGTTGTTAGCTTGTTGCCACGGCCCAAGACCCAAGTACGCCAGGTGGTTTTAAAACGTAGCTTGGTGTGGCGTCGTGATGGCCACGCTTGCAAACGTCACTTTGCGGCCGCGGCGGAAACATTTCCATTGGTAGTGGGCTCTCTTACGCATACTTTTTGCGCCGCGCACGAACGTATCTGCTTCACTGCACCATAATTGATATATTAGTTGTTGATCGATGACGTACCGGTGATTTTCCATATGCAGAATGCAGATGAGATAAACTTCTGAGATAATTACTACCTATCCTTCTCAATTCACTGGAAGTAATCGGAGTTATGTACCGTCCTTAAACATTTGCATAGCGCCTTTTGTGACCATTCGCTTGAAACAATGGCATTCGGAATGCCACCACGTCAATATTGTACATGATGCATTGTGTGCGGTGTACCAGGAAACTTCACTATAACTTAATTTAATGGCAAAGCATTGTTCTGCGTCTTTGAAATTATACTTTATTTAATGTTCTCAACTCCCAAGTTTTTTAAAAAAGCATTTTATCATCTTTACATTATACGATCTGTCATCTGAATGCCGACTTATTATTTTGTACCAATTCAAGAAAATCCATCCTACTTTTTTAGATAGACGCACGAAAGAAGTCTGACGCAGCACAGGTGTCTAAGCTAGAAGAAGAGAGGTTAGCATACTTGCGGCAAGTTGGAAATTTGTTGCATCCTTCAGTGGTCATTCACGACGATGAAGCCAATAATGAGATTGTGAGAACATCCGGCGACATCGAGGTTTGTGTGAGCTAAGACCTTATTTTACTGATAAGTTAAAAGATAAAGTCCATTAACAACCTCCTTATATCGGTGTTAAACGGCAATGATGAAAATGCATTTATTTAAAACTAAACTTTCTGCCAGACAAGGAAGAAGTACTCGCATGTTGACTTGATTCACATGATCGGAGGAGCTGATCTAGATAGAGGAGCCACTGTTGCCGGTAATTTATTGTTCATTATAATGTTGACGTGATGCCGTTTGGTATTATAGAAGACGTTCTCTTTATTCTTGCCAACCATGTTATTAATCTGGGAAATGATTGAGTGAATGAAAATCTACCACAATTTGAGCCGCACGAAATGGTTAAACCGATTACAAATTTCCTTTTTAGGCAGCAGAGGATACTTCTTGACTGGACCAGGAGTGCACTTGAATCTAGCCCTGATCCACTATGCTACAAGCATGCTTGCTGGTAAAGATTACACTCTTCTGCAAACACCTTTCTTTATGAGGAAGGATGCTATGAACCAGGTACAGAAAATTTTTTATAAATACCTGGCACATACAAACATTTGTATAATAATTATTAGAATGTAGAAACCGTATCTGCAGAGTTCCATGGTTTGGCATTATAAACCGATGTTAATCTTATGTTCCGCTTATGCTAAATTGAGAAAACTTGGCAACAACACCATGCGTTCCCCTTTACAACTTATCAATGATCATAATATCGTAATTATAACTTCAATCAGGTGGCCCAGCTGACCCAATTTGACGATGAGCTGTACAAAGTAGTAGGAAAACGTAGTGAGGACGAGAAAGACGGAGAGGTTGGTATGCTTACATCTTTGGATTTGTTTGGAGAGGCGAATCATACACAGTTTATAAGGCTCTTACATCTTCTTTATTTTGAACGTTTAACTCCTTTGTTACTAAAGATGTATTGGTTTGTACTAACAAAAGAATACGAATGCCTCTAAATTCTAATAACCCTCCTTTTCTCTCCCAGCTGGAAGAGAAATACCTGATAGCCACCAGTGAGCAACCTATCGCTGCGTTCCACATGAACGAGTGGCTAAACGAGAAGGAGCTGCCGAAAAAGTACGGTGGTTTCTCAACGTGCTTCCGACAAGAAGTGGGCTCCCACGGTCGAGACACACGTGGTATTTTCCGAGTGCATCAGTTCGAAAAGATAGAACAGTTCTGCATAACCAGCCCGGAGACCAGCTGGGAGATGTTCGATGCGATGATCGGTAATGCGGAGGAGTTCTGTACTAGCCTGGGACTGGCTTACCAGGTCGTCAATATTGTCAGGTGAGTTTGTATACCATCGTACCAGTACCATGAAACTGGTTGGTTGGTTCCGGTTCTTGAGTCAACTATTTTTTATTTATTATTATCAACAATTCTATGTTCACGGCAAATGGAACGATTTACTCAGAACTGAACATTTGTACAATTTCATAACTTACAAACACTCTCCTTCGTTTTAGCGGAGAGTTGAACCTGGCGGCGAGCAAGAAATTAGATCTGGAGGCGTGGTTCCCCGGAGGTGGTGCTTTTAGAGAGTTGGTCAGTACTTCCAACTGTACTGACTACCAGAGCAGGAGGTGAGGCGGGCAATATATTTATCATAATCACGTGACCAACCACGGAGCAAATAGTGTGATGAACTTTTACTCATGTTCGTTAATTAATTGTAGAATTACTCATTGTAAAATAGTTAATTTCACTATTTATCCTCTAAATAACTTCACTTTAACCAGGCTGAAAGTAAGATACGGCCAAACCAAGAAGATGGGAGAAAGTGCTCAGTTTGTGCACATGTTAAACGGAACTCTGTGCGCAACAACACGTGTAATCTGCTGCCTGCTGGAAACTCACCAAACTGAGGTATGTAGTCGGTTGTCATGACAATGACAAGATCACGTGACAGCAGTTGTCATGTGGACCTATTATTTAAAAAAAAAGGGTATTTTTTTGAAACATTTGTATTTGCTCGGTGGTCAATTCGTGTTGTATTGTAATTTATAGTTTCGTGACATTTTGCCAGTTCGCCTGGCAGAAGCTTCATGAAATTTTCCCCATCACTGGTTTTAAGCAAACAATAGGGCCACGATAAATGTTGAGGAAATGATAAGAAAAAAATACATGGGCTGTTAATTTCAGGACGGTGTGAACGTGCCAGAGCCGCTACAGATGTACATGCCACCAAAGTACAAGACCTTCATTCCTTTCGTCAACAAGGCCCCAATCGATACTATCCAGGAGAAGAAGAAAAAAGGAAAATAAACTGAGATTTATTAGGAGTTGAGTTTTATCTGCTTTTTGCGCATTTTTAGAGATGCTTTTATTTGATCCTCATATGTGAGTTTTACTTTGAACTACCCCGACCATAATAACTCGCTTCCAAATTCAATTAGTCATATTGAAACACCAACCAAATCCTTTAAAAAATAGAAGAAATTATAATGCATTTAATATGTCTATGAGAATCAATTTGATTCTAATCATAAAAATCTGCCAAAAAACCAAACAATTTATGATTTATTGGATTAAAATCTATATTGTACTAAATGTTCAGAGTAAAATCAAAAGTCTGGATTCGACTACTAAACTTCGAACTTGTGCTATTGATGTGAGTCCAGGTCAAGCTGCCCCTAATTGCTTTAATTACCGAAATTATAACAATTCAGAATTAGTGACATCCGGTTTGGAGCGTGCTAAGAGCTTCATTGTGTTTTACCATTCATGTTGTACGTTTGTGTAAATATACATCGCTGGTGTAACCTATAAGGTTGTTGTTCGTGTAAGGATTACTATTACGGTTGTTTTTAAATGTAATTTTCAAGAAATAGGACATTTTAAAATTTTTAAATTTTCCCAATGGGAATCCGGGTAATCCCACTATTTCACTATTGTCAGTATCTAATCGACCAAGTTGCAAAATAGCTCACAATAAAAGGAGGAATAATTCAGTAAGTTGTTAGAAGTATAGAAAAAAGTTGCCATCCTCATCAACTAAAGAAAAGCAATTCAGTACTGCTTTAAATTGACAGATATATTTTTAGGTTAAATACTATGACAGCTCACGTCAATCTTATTGACTAAATCTACCAGACCATTTATATGTTTCCAATAAAATGGATACTTCTCCAGCATCATAAGTACAGTAGCCTTTCCTTCTTCAGTACTGATATCCGCATCCGATACCGCATTATATAGCTCTGCATTTAGCTTAGTCGCAAAATTGACAGCGAAAAATCTCCATTGTATGTAGTAAAACCTAGTGAGGGTAAACTCCGCAATGAGTTGCTCGCGAGAAACTACCAGTTTGAACCGCGATATGCTTTCAATAAACGAGTCAATATAGACCATAGTTGTTAAGTTCGTCGAAGAAATGCGAAAAGTTCGTCCAGTTCGGCACCTTTTAAAAATTCGTGAAAATTCGTGAAAATTCGTTGCGTAAATTTTCTTGGCATATGTTTTGATTTTATAATGAATGGCTTAGGTGCGATCACTATAACACTTGTAAACAAATGATACAGTTAGATAGTTATACATACTTGTATTGAAAAAAAAACTAGATCAACAACAGATCATGACTAGTACTTCAATAGGTTCACAGATTACAATTAAGCATCAATTATAGCAACAGCTCACAACTTATCATTGTTATCTAAATAATCTATAGCATATGTGATCTTAGTGATCTTTCGTTTAAAGTTCGGTTAAAGTTCGTCTATTTCGTTAAAAAATTCGTCCAGTTCGGCACCTTTTTAAAGTTCGTCCAGGACGTCCGTAACAACTATGATATAGACTTCAAAGAGTTGCTCACGGTGAGGATCGACGTTAATACAAATTGCCATGTATCGTTGAAATTCTTGCATCACCGAGCTGAGCATGAAATGCGTGAAGCCAAAGAACACCACTTAGTCGATTTTATCTGAAATCGCCATATTGAGCGGCTGAAAATCTTCACTTTGAGAAAAGTTTAAAAGTTTCTTATCCCATAGTCCATGTTTATTAGGTTAAATACTGCGAGGGCTTCTTGTCAATCTTATTGACTAAATCTACCAGACCATTTATATATTTCCAATGTTCTGGATACTTCTCCAGCATCCTAAGAACTGTAGCTTCCCCTTCTTCAGTATTGATGTCCGCATCTGATACTGCATTATATAGTTCTGCATTTTGCATTGGGAAAAAACCGTAGATGAAAAATCTCCACTGTATGTAGTAAAACCTAGTGAGGTTAAACTCCGCAATGAGTTGCTCGCGAGAAACTACCAGTTTGAACCGCGATATGCTTTCTATAAACGAATCAATATAGACTTCAAGGAGTTGCTTACGGTGAGGATCGAGGTTTATGCAAACTCCCATGTATCGCTGAAATTCTAGCATCACCGAGCTGAGCATGAAATGTGTGAAGTCAAAGAACACCACTTTGTCGATTTTATCTGAAATCGCAATATTGAGCGGCTGAAAATCTTCAAGAACAGGGCCCCAAAGGTTTTCATCTGTTGTAAGTAGTACGGGGTCTTTCTTCTCATCCATCTGCCAACTTATTAGCTTGTCTAGTGAATTTAGATTACACCGTTCCTTCAATTGAGCGTGTTCCTTCACAGTGTTTATGTTATTCTGTAACATCTTCAACATCTTAACAGTGACTGAAGATGAACATCCGTTTCGTAGAATATTATTCATATTAGCATTAGCAAGTCCTTTCTTTGTTTCACCCACATTTATTTTTAAGAAGGATTCAAATGGATATTCATTGGCTCCGCTTCGTACTTTGTTTTCTTTCCAAGCATAGAATATACCGCTAAGCTCTGCCCGTTTCTGCAAAATAAGTAGTGCTTCCTCATATTCATTCCCTCGTGGCATATTTGGGGGTACTTGGCACTGTTTTTCTGAAAGGTCCTGAAGAACCAAAAAACTCTCGTCCTCAGTCTCCTTATAGCCATAATATTCAACGAAGCAGGAATCTATGATATCTGCTGTCATACCCTCATGTGTTTCCAGGAAGTTCCTAATCTCCGGTAGAAAGTTCTGGTAAACTGCAGCCTCCCACCTTAGAGCATCAATATTGTATACGGAACCCTTCATATAAAGCACATCTCGTCCCTCTCTACTCACCTTCTTCACAAAAACTTTCTTTTCCTCCCCATTTTCTAAATATATCGAGAATCTGAACGGTATTGCCTCATGCCCCGGTATCGAATCAAAGGGGAGACTCTTGATTTGGTGAGGGGACTTCAGTAAAAACAGTTCAGTCAGATATTCCGTGAGTGTAGAATCCACCATCTGATTGAAAATGGTTGGTTAGTTTTGCTGTCTTATTACTATTATTAATTACTATTAGTATTATATATACTCACCAGTGTAGTAAAATTCCTTTTTACAAATTTAATACTATACGTCAAAAAATAGTAGTAGTAGTAAATCTTTCAAAGTACGAAATATCTCTTTAAAAGAGCATCCTAGGCACCTTATAGATATCAAAACGCATAAAAAAGAAAACAAAAACATCAACCATCTTCTAACTTCTTCCATTCCTCCCTATCTAAAGCCAAAAATCTAAGGTCTTCGAAATCAGTCAAATTCTTAAGTCTAATATCAAGATTTCTACTAGTCAAGTCTTTTCTAATAACATCTAATAAGTTTAAACATGGTCTACCCCGTCTCCCTTCCATAAAAATATCAGAATTTATAGCAAATAACATAGAGGTGTATGCTGGTGAGTCTTCCTGTCCTCTTAAGATATGTCCTAACATTCTCCATCGAAACTTAGAGACTCTCACAGACAAGGGAGTGACATAACAACGAGCATAGAGTGCCTCATTAGAAATAACCCCAGTAGGCCATCTGATGTTGAGGATTCTTCGGAGGTGTTTGCGATGAGCAATATCAAGTTCATTCAACGAAGCTAGTGGTGCAGCCCAGGAGTTGCAGTTGTAGAGTAGAATAGAGACTACTTGTGCCTCGTAGATTTTGATCTTCCTTTGGACTGAAATCTTGCTCTTCATCCAAACTTTCTGAAATTTACTAAAGGCAACATTACCAAGGAATATTCGATTCTTGATATCCTTAACAGTGCACATCAACGATCCTAAAGTTTTGTTAGAGCGCCACTCTTCATCACCTCTATACACTTTTCCAACAATCACCTTGCGTTTAACAGTGGGTTTAGGATCTGCTAAATAAAAATGGACAAATTCAGTCTTGGAAGAATTGATATGAAGGTCCCACTGCTGGAATATATCTTTAGCGATAGGAAGCATTTCTTTGAGTGGAGCAAGTTCAGTGTTATTAAAGTCAATATCATCAGAGTATCCTGTTTCGAGTGGCATGAATTCTTCTGAGATAGGAGGATTAGGGATTGGATGATTTACTGGGTAAGGTGTTGATGATACTTGGGAGAGTACAGATCTGAGGTGAATAAGTGCAGCGGCTTCAACAACAGTAAATAGATTACCTGATAGTGCATCTCCTTGAAATGCTCCAGTTGTGCTTTGGAACTCAATTGATACAGTATTATTGACTTTTACTTTCAACACTGTGTTTGATAGTAGGAGCCGTACCATCCTAATTTCATCACTAGTACAGCCAGCATCTTCAAGAACATTGAGTACTGTTTCTCTGCTGATGGTGTCAAAGGCACTTGACATGTCTATACTCATTCTGTGGTAGCTCCAATGCTTTCTAAGTACCACTGAGGTTAGCATACGTTGAGACCAAATTATATCGCCACAACTTCTACCTCTCTTGTAAGCACTTTGTGTAGGACCGGTGTACTGATCTAGCTTGCCTTGGATACGTTTTAGGGTAATCATTGACAGTAATTTTCTGGAGCAGTTTGAGAGGGTGAGAGGTCTGATGTTTGCTGCTGGACCAAGTGGTTTCTTAGGCTTTTGGAGTGGAGTAATGTTGCCTTTTCCAATAGATGTTATGGTGGTGTTTGTTTCAAATGCGGTATTTATACAGTCTGCATATTTCTGAAATACACTTCTGTTTGCATACTTAATCAATTCACTTGGGATATCATCAGGCCCAGTGGCTCTACCATTCTTCAAAGCTTTAGCAGCTATCTCAACTTCAATAGCAGTAATAGGGTCAGCGAGAGGACTAGGTTGATCAAAGAAAGTGTCAATAGGCTCAACTGTATGTTTTGCAGTGAACTTCTCTTCAAAGTGGTTCTTTAGTGTAGCAGCTTTTCCAGTGTCTGTACCTATGAAGTTAGAGTTTTCATCATGCACACTTATGGTTGGAGCACGTTTGATACCTGCTAGTTGGCGAGTGGCTGCAAAGTATGCTCTAGAACTATCAGTTTCGTTTATCTCTTCAGCAAGAGTGTCTGCATG